TGAGGAAAAGTGTTGGAAGACCCTTTTTCCAGGGTTGGACACACACACACGATGTTTAATGGGCCCCAAGCCGCTGATCTAGTAGGTGAGTTTGAAATCCGGACTAACATCTAAAAGCGGTGCATATGAGCATTCAAGATTGTCAGAGCCTGTGCGTCAAAGAGGATATCATAAACGTTCTCATCCAATCCTTGGTGATGTGACGTGTCTCATCTGCATCGGCATTCGACGGCTATGCTAAGGCAACAGTCCATGTGCACATACTTTGGAATCGCGCTAAGCAAAGACCTCCATCGCGGGACATGTACGGACAAAGGGTGCTGACCTGGGAACAATATGAAACAATAGTCTGAAAGTTTAAGATCTGAAGACTTTAAGCTCCGTCGCTGCATCTGTCAGGAATAGCAACCACCAAAAACTAAGGTCTGTCCAGGGAGTGGAGGCCCTGTTACAAATGTTTGAAGCCGTGCCAGTGATGTGGCTTCTGGCCACATGGACCGCACCCAACAAAAACAGCAAACCTCTGTCTTGCTCGTCTTGCTCTTGCCGCTGCTGCCAGGACCCACAGTCAAAGTTGAAGCTTTACACCGTCCCAGAATGCCTCCCGTGACATCGTATGTCCCCCCGTAATGCCTCCCGTTTGCCTTTGGTCCAAGCATCTTGGTGGACACATGTCGCGCTGAGAGGATTGAGATCTCTTGAGGGTTACAGCACGGAAGCGGCTGCCTGCGTAGTCTAGCAAGGAAAATGAGTCTTGGTGGAGTGACATTGGGGTGAAGGGGTGACCAGAAGGAGTTTTCTTGGAAGAATGTGGGATCCTTCGACTCGGTCCATCTCGGAAGAATGTGGGGCATTTGCCAAACACGTCTTCGAAGTGTCGGTTTTGTGCGGTTCTGGGGCCACAGGTTCAGACCATGCCAAGCTGCACTTTGGAAATGCTTACCAGTCTGCAGTCTGCACTTACAAACTCAGTCACTTGTCCTGAGTGATGGAAGGGATGAGCAAACCGGCATTGATGATCTGAGAATCGATCCATCGCTGATCTCCGTTTCACCCACCATCAAAACGAACGCGGCCCAGCCTGGAGTGAGATCCATCTGCTCCAGCAGCAGCTGCGCAAAGCGAACAGGCCCCGGGAAGCTTGGGATCGACTCCAAGAGCTGGTCCTCCACGGCTGTTGGCGTAGAACCACTGGAGCTACTTAACGAGACTTAATGGCTATATCTACCAGGATTTGGTGGTAGCTCCATTCATGTTCCCAAGACTTATTATTGGTTGACCTTTGGCGTAATAAAGCCAACAAAGACCTGAAGTGCTCACCAACAAGATCAACAAGATACAATCAGGTACGCTGCTGCGATGTGCTGTTTGCCTTTGCTGGTTTGATGAACAAGACCGATGATCAGCACCTCAGCCGCACCGCAGGTCTACAAGTTGCCACCCAGCGGCGCAGCCAGCAGCCGCCCAGTGCAGCAGCACCAGTAGCGGCGTGGGGGTCTCGCTTGGTGGAAGGCAAGTGGCGCCAGCAGGTGTCACCAAGCGGGGAGGCTTGCCAAAACCTGTGGACTGTCCCTCCGGGGAAGCGGGGTCACTTCAGAACACAAGTTTTAGTTCTCTTTGGAACACAGGGTTTTAGTTCGCTTTGGAACACAAAACATGGGTCACTTTGGAACACAAAACGCCCCTTGCCAAAACATGGAAGGGTTAGCAAAAAGCGAGATCACTTTGGAACACAACGCACCTGATTTTTTGGTTCACTTTAGAACACACTTCGAACTTGGGTTTTCAGTTAACGCAATTGTCTCGGTGAGAAGGAAGGCGATAGAACAGCATGGCGGAAAGTCGGAGACAATTGTAGGTGTTTGAACAAAAGCTGTTTCCCTTGACTGCAGTGACGAAGCGGCGCAACTCAGCTGCAAAAGTGGCTGTGGGAAACCTGTTTGTGGGGAAAGGATCGTGTGGAACCACCATGAATCAAACCAAAAGATTGGACAGCGTGTTCAAAAGTTGAAGCAGGTACACATCAGGACGTCTCCCGATGCATCACCAGAGAATGTGGACGTCTTCGTTGGCAGTGATTCCACAAACTCTGTCACTGCCCCCTGCCTGTGTGGAATGGGAAGAGTGGTGGTGTAAGACCCTTTGTCCAGGGTGGGACACACACAGATCGCCGCATTCGGCGCTTTTTTCAAAAATTGTTGGTAGGTGTGTGTTCATGCATCTCGAATTAAGCTGAAGAGCTGTAATGCCCATCCTTGAGTTCTGTCGATGAAAGAATCGCGGCAGCAACATAGCGAACATAGAAACATGCACATGATTGGAAGACATGAAAAGAAAACTGAATGCTGAAATCTGAGATCTGAAGTTTGGAATCTGAAGGATTCTTCAAGAACCGTTTTTTGGCCCGGCGGCCGGTGTGGCGGTTGATTCTGTGAGGGTGTCGGTGCCTTCCTGTGATAATCCAGTGAGCGGTGGTGCGTTGGGGTGGTTGCTTTCCCATGCAAGAACGGCGCCCCTGTGACGGGGATCACACTCAGCACCCGAGTGGGACGGCTGAGCAGGACACACTTCGAACTTGGGTTTTCAGTTAACGCAATTGTCTCGGTGAGAAGGAAGGCGATAGAACAGCATGGCGGAAAGTCGGAGACAATTGTAGGTGTTTGAACAAAAGCTGTTTCCCTTGACTGCAGTGACGAAGCGGCGCAACTCAGCTGCAAAAGTGGCTGTGGGAAACCTGTTTGTGGGGAAAGGATCGTGTGGAACCACCATGAATCAAACCAAAAGATTGGACAGCGTGTTCAAAAGTTGAAGCAGGTACACATCAGGACGTCTCCCGATGCATCACCAGAGAATGTGGACGTCTTCGTTGGCAGTGATTCCACAAACTCTGTCACTCCCTGCCTGTGTGGAATGGGAAGAGTGGTGGTGTAAGACCCTTTGTCCAGGGTGGGACACACACACACACAGATGGGGAGGGTTTAAGGATGAAGGATGGGGTGGGGTGGGGGGGATGGGGTGGGGTGGGTTGCAGTTAGCAACCAGACAGTGCGACTCTGAAGTGCTGAAAGGGTTGCCAGATTGGACAAGGTCAACATCTTCACACACACACACACACACACGTTTTGATGGCCTTTCAAAGCACACTTCTGCCGTGCAAACTAATGAGCGGGTTGGGTGGGGGGGTGGGGGGTGGGGTGGGTTGCAGACAGTGCAGACTAGTCGTATAGCGATGGCCTCCAACCTACTAGCTCTGACACGCGTTCCGAAGCGATACCGTTCCCGCGTTCCGAAGCGAACTATTTTCTGCGTTCCGAAGCGACTCCCTCGCCTCGGTCGGAGGCCCAAGAAACGATCAGAAACGCACACAGCAGTTTTTGGCAATGCCGGTTAGATCGAGTTTTTCCTGGCCTGTCTGCCAGCACTCCGGAAATGTCAAAGACCAGGGCAACGAGTGGTTCCTCGGGATCAACCAACACGACTCCTCTGAAAACATGGCAGGGGCGTAGCGTGGGGGGAAAAACACACGGTGCAGGAGCAAGTCGTCTTCGAACTGTGATTTCTCCGCCCTTGCCTCTCCATTGTCCCCAAGTGCAGCAAGACTCTCCCGATTTGGTACGCAGCGGTGATCCAATGAGGAGCAAAGCACAAGACTCCTCAGAGGACAGCAACCAGCCAGGGGACAACAATGCTTGGCCCATGCCGCTTTGTCCGAAAGGTGCAGTCCTGCCGGAACGAACCAATGGATTCAGAGTGGATTGGCCTTTGACTCAAGGCCCATGCAACGGATCCAATCGCACGAAAGCAAAACCAAACTCAGCCCACCCAGTTGTCCCGCCAAACCTACCTAACCAGTGCATCTTTTGCCTAAAACGTGATCGTTCGCCAAGCCACTGCTGCGATGCCTCCTGTGCCGAGCCTTAGATGTCAGTGGCCCAGCTGGTGGCCCAGCTGTTGGCTTTCGCACTTTCCAAAGGGTCTGGAGCACTGAAGCTCCGCACTCCAACGAAGCAAACGTGGCAGCGGAAAGAACCTCTTCGTAGAGAAGGCTACCTTGGATAGGGGCTACCCCCCTACTGAGAGGCCCTTCGTCCAAAGTCATGGAAGTGGAGAGGCCCAGCATCATGTTTGTCCAACAAAGTGTTTCCCTCAATGCTTCAGTGGTCACTGGAGGGGGCCACCTGAACAACACCAAAACAGCGGAACATGCATTACGCCAGTGTACCTGATAGAGATATTAAACATTGGTACCATTCAGCATCTTTCTTTGAGGAGGTTGCCCGCTCACCTTCACCATCCACGCCACTCATGGCCGCCCGGCGCACAGCTCCGGACGCCTCCGAGCCGTGGCTGGTGAGCACCAAGCGGGGGACCTCGGTGCCGGAGGTCTCCATGTGACCCTGAGGAAGTATGCAGGTGGCAGATGCCAGTATAGCATGCATGCGGTACAATTCTTCAATTCCCTTAGTGAATCATTCTTCAATTCCCTTAGTGAATCACCCAAGCATCCAAGCCTCTCATTGAAAAAAACGCCCAAATGCCACTGCTTGCAATTCTCCCTACCTGAGGTGTTCCCCATGTGTTCCTCGTCTCATTCTCATTGATCCTCCATATCGTCTCCCCCCCGGTGCCTTGGGATGGCCCACGCATTGTCGGCCCAGCTCCGCGAAGTCGGGGCCGAAGCCCGGAGTCTTCCCCACGTCCATGGGCGCTGGTGGCTCTGCACCATTGAGGAGCACCAAGGGCAACGGGAAGGCGAAGGACCTGGATGATTGGATTGGAAATAGAGCAAAACGCAAATGGATGCATTGGTGGATGCTACATCTGCACAGTACCATCGGCAGTTGAATCACGGGAGCCCAGGGTTCTTGCATCAAAGCTCCTCATCAGCAAACAAATGATTTGGCACCAAAGACTTTTCCTTCCATACCTGCTGCTGATGCATGTTCCTTGTCCATTCTCACTTTCCACATCAATTCAAATTCAAGAGGCGGCAAGGCCAGCAGCAGCTGGCCAATGCCTTTGGAGGCACACAAGATCACCTGGTACCTCGGCGATCGCTCAGAATCCAAGGGAACCACCACCAGGACATATCACGAAAAACAACGACAAGAAGGACAAGGGAAACAAAGGTCATGTCATGAATATACAAGATCAACAACAAAGGTCATGAACGTCACCATCATCGCGATTCCAGGCTTTTCTCCCATGGTGGACGTGCACCACCAACGGTTTGCCGCTCCAAAGCGCTGGCCGCCATTCACCAAGCCAGCAATCGAGGCCGCATAGCTCTGGCTGACACCCGCTTTCAGGGCCGCTGCTTCCAGGTCCAGTGCATCGGCCATCTGGTGCGTCCGGTGGCGGAAAAGGATGATCTTTGGTGGAAAAGGATGAACAAAGGATGGAAAGAAAGGTTTCAAGGTTCTGGTGTCTCATTCCTTTTTGAGTGCACGTGTTTTTGTGAACGTGCAGAAGCGATCCGGGTCCCAGGTGCAGAAAGGAACGCAACACCCACCAGGTCGTGTTGTATATGGTGTGCCCGATCCCACCCCACTGGGATGGCTGAGCAGGCCCGATGAGTGATGCTTGAGAGTAGCCTGGTAGGAACAAGGACGCTATTGGGTGGAGGCCATCGCAAGTAGGTTAGAGGCCGTCGCTACTGGTAACAAGAAGCTACTAGGAACAAAGGGCATCGCTACGGATCAGTTGTTGGACCTCTCAGCATGAGAATGTGCTGCGTTTTCATGTGCAGAGTCGGAGTACTCAAAAAACGAGGATATCTTGCAGTCGCCGTCGCTGAATTGACTGATGCATGTCAGGCCGGTTCGACAAACTAAACATTTGTGAAGTCAATCGTCCTGAACTTCAACTTTCCGTCTAAATGATCAGCGCATTCATTCTGACAAATTAATTGTCCAGCATGTCACCTCGAGGAGGTACAACACTTCCGGTGCCTCTGGGTGGTTGGCACGGACGGTCTGGCGATCTGCCTTGGCATCGTGGGAGACGAAGCAGCCTTGGAGTTCCCGGCCTTTGGTTTGATGGAAAAGCCTGCTGGAGGTGAGATCTGCAAATCCTCTAGACCCTAGACACCAAACCAACATATCGTAACAAACTCCATCCACAGCGGTTTTTGGGTGGATGTTTTCTTTGTACAGTAGCAACTTGTGTGGCGAGGTCTGGCGGAAGATAAACACTTGGTTGCCACATGTTGCTCTCAAGGCCAAACGAACAATCGACGGGACAAAAAACGAAACGTGTCAACTAATCCTGTTCGAAAGGAAATGGATGGGGCAAAGAGGCAAACAACGTCAAACAACATCGAAACCCCAAAACCCGGTAAAACGCATGGTTTTCTGACCATCTGCATGTTGCAGTCGGGGCAAACCCCCCCGTTTACCCAACATGTTGCGCCATGGCAGCCGGCGCCTGTGACACCGGGTGCTGCAGCATGTCCACCTGTAGGTCCGGATCTGTGAGGAGCACCCCATAGATGAAGCCAGCGTTCCCTAAATAGCCGTCCTCACCTCAGAGACCATCCCAGAGGGAACTGGCTGAAGTGGAAGAACCACCCGCTTCAGAAACTTTTCGCTATCATGTCAGGCAGTCACTCTTATTTGTTTACACATGTATATATAGATACACATGTTTATTTGTTGCTGAAAGTTAAGATCACCAACAAAGCCAACCTTTCATCTTCCTGCCCTTCCATCGTCAGGTCACCTATGTCCCGGGCTGAGCCCCCTAACGCTCCCACAAGTACCCAAACTCCTCTCCCATGAAGCCCGGGAAGTTGGCAGCTTTGGCCCGCTGGGCGCGTGCCTGGTGCTTTGGCGGGGTTTGCATAAGAAACATCGGAAGGGACACAATCATTCACCCAACTCGGGATGCCACAGGAATCCACTGGCTGCTGACCCTTATACACTCAACCGCAGAAGTCACGGCGTACTAGGGAAAAACATGCGTTCCCCAATGCAAACGCGACGCCAAGAGGGGGTCCCGGCATAGTCCTTGCAAAAACGTTGTTCCCGCATGTAAACGCGATGATTTGTGAATGTTTTTTGGTGTGTGCTCTCCCCAACACAGTTCTCATGTATTCAAAGCAATGTTCCCGATTGTCCGCTGTGATCGGTGTTTTGTCTGCCGCTGCTGCCTTGTCTCCTTACTTGTTTCCCCACCTGCCTCCCACTCGTTTGCCTGTGCGATCGGCGTTTTGCTTGATCGTCGTTTTGTTTGCCGCTGCTGCCTTGTCTTCTCCCCAACTAAACGCAACATCGCCACGACTTCCATAGATTCAAATACCCAAGTAAACGCTTCAAAAATTGAATGTCGCCACGGCCACGACTTCAACATTTGAGAGTACTGCTTATTGTGTGTGATATTGTGTCTGTAGAATCTGTCCAAACACACCTACCCATCCTCCATGCATTGGTATGGGTCAACCTTGCTTAGCTATTTCTTCCGGGGATAAACATCAATTAACAAGCTGGTTTGTAGACGAGAGGTGACGTAAGGGGTATTGGCCCGCACCGCAATGAAGTCACAATCAGAATTGCAAACACTTTGCACTACTGCACTCCGTCTGCGGGCATTTTTAACATATTTTAGCCATTTCCGAGCGAAATGCATCATGTTGACAAAAGGACATGGCATGACATGCCCAAACCCTGGGCACCAGGTGAAATATGATGCCCCCCGGCTTCTCTTGCTCACTGGATCTCACTGGCCCAGGAGTTTTAGGTGGCTGTGAGTCAATCAACCCTGCTGCATCTCAACAACCTGAAAGTGAAGGGAACATACATTTTAAGTTTCATTACTGGGAACTGGATGCTCACCTAACATTTGGGGCATGGGATTGTTGGTCACCACCAGCATACAATAAGCTCTCTCTCTCTCTCTCTTTTCGCTGTGAGATCTTCGATCAGCGTCCAACCGGATCGACTGGAACCGAGACTCGACTCGTGACGGTCGTCCGTCGCAGTTTCGCCTCCTTGGAGACCGGCACCGTGCCGCCGAGGCCATTGGTCAAGAACTTCCCATGAGCCAAGGGCACCTCTAACGACCAAGGAGGACGGACGAGCAGCAACGGACCAGCAGGACATCACGAGAAGCAAAATTGGAGTGCCCACACAAAGATGTGCGAAGTGGATCAGTGTTCGGTTTCGAAGGGAAAGTATTTTTTGGTTCCCCCAGAGCTCTTGCAAGCGAGCTCTAAAGGAGTTACCATCTGATCTCCCTGCAGGCACCCGCCGCTTTTCCCAAGTTTCTCTATCAATCCCAAGCCTCCAAGCCCAATCCAGCGTTGGTGCCTAGGCCGGCGCCAATCACCAAGACCTTTTCCATGGCGCATGGCGTCAGAGTCAAGGCCTATGAGGTTTTATGCATTGGGCCATGTTCGACTGAGTGGAGAACTGTTGAAATGTATCCTAGCTGAGCTGCAGCACGGCCCGACGGCGGGGCGCTGTTATAGTTATATATTGTATTATACTATGATTACTAATTATCGATCTTATACTGCTCCTTGCAATTCTGATCCGGACTGACTGTCCGCCAGGCTATGAAGACAAAGACAAAGTCCGATCCAAGACACCTCGAAGAACAATCGTGACGAGAACCTCCATGAATCTCCAGTCTCCAAGGGGATACTGTAATCGTACCCACTGGCGAACGATATGTTCTGAAGTTCAGTTTCCAAGAGCCCCCACTCTGGCACTCACCATTGGGGTCATGATCCAACTGACTCAATGGTGACAGGGCTCCTTCACATAAACCTGTCAACATGCCCGTGGCTTTGAAATTTACGTATCCAAGCGCGCACCAATCTTCCTGAAGCGCGCGCAGCACAACGCTCCCTGATCCCGTCCTCACAAGGGCATTTCACCTCGGTGTTTGGTGCATGAAGTGAGAATGACCTCCCAATTCCATACGTGCGGTGCACACTTCGACCCACGTCCACGTGCTGTGGTGGAAAAGCACTGTTCGTAGAGGAGTGTAGGTGGCAAAGCCCTTCCACACATAAAGTTCAGGTCAATTCCGGGTCTAGCGGTTGGATGCAGTTGCTTTGAGCAGCTTGGTCAGCTCCAGCCACGAGAGCACTGCTGTTTGTGGGTTGGCCATTATGCTTCCAAGCTTCTCTTGGAGCAAAAGCCCAAGAGCCTAGGATGTACAAAAGCCTATACCCTCCGTTGAACAGTTGAACAATGACGATAGTGGGCAATGGTCCCTTGGAAGACTGGTAAGGGGGCCTCCCCTGACTGAGTCTTTTGATAGAAATGATACTACCAACGTGGAACCACGTGGGACCCCTCTCTGCCTCGATCTCTTTGCGCTTGTGCGCAGGCCAACGGACCAACGGTGCAGCACAGGTGGACCCCACGAGCTCTGTTCAGCAGGGCTGGCAAAACACTTGTTGACGCTTGGTGGGCATTTTGCTGCTCTGGGACTCTGGGTCCTCGTTGGTGACCGCCTGGAAGGATTGCTCCACCCTGTTGGTCCTTTTGGGACTTTGACTTTGAGTCTTCACTAGAAAGTCACCAAGCTGCCACAGCAACGTGGGTGCCACTGCTCAGGGATTCCTGATGTAAATCCGACTTTGCCCTTTGGCGTTGGGCTTCTTCTGCCGCTGAACTGCAGGCTTCAGTGTGTGCGCACGGGGCCGAACTTTGGGCTCCCTGGCTTCAGTACTCTCAGAAAATTGCCTAAAGTGGAGATCCTTGGCTGCCCAACGGATATGCATGGGCCACAGTGAGCCAGGTAGTAGAACATGAGTACTTATAAGACTTATCATGAGTCTCTACGAGCAACTCATCAGTTGATCAGTTGAGAGGCAACCGGGGATTGAAGACATGTCCAACTAATCCTCATCACTGGATGGAAGGAAAGTCAGTTCCCCTCCTTCACCAACTGTGACAAATTCGCGTTGACATCCAACTCTTCCACATATGCAGGCCAAGAACATGCTCTAGAGCCGCACGCTCCAGTGCATCTGCTCCCATGGAACGCTCCAGGTACTTCTTCGTCATGGTGTCTGGGTGCACTCGCCACGACACGATGCGATCCAAGATCTTTGCGGCCCCAGCTCGAGATGAAGACGCCCTAGCACATGCCTTGAGCACTGCGTTGACTTCCTTGGAGTGAATTTGAGGGCGAACAACTAGGACTTTAGCCTAAAGTCGGATGTCTTGGTGTATGTTCAGCGAAAATCACTTTGCGTGATCATTGCTATATAGGACACCCTAGAATATTATGTATATAATATATATATATAGTGTATAACCCTTTGCAGCGCAATAGAGCCAAACAACTGCAAATAAAGTCAAATCTGATGAATGCAAGCATGGCAGGATTTCAAGTGCGCAGCTAGGAGTGTGTGGCCTCCACTGGTTGCATAGATTTCAATCGTCTCTCAATCTCCTCCAATTCCGAGGTTCTCTGGCTTCGGCGGGAAAACCATTCCCCACCATGTCATCCAGCCGCTGCGTGGCAGCATCAATGGAACTGGCCGTGGCAAGAGCACTGATGACCATCCCAAAGCCTCACAATTGCAACGCAAATGCAGTCAAACATGTAACGTCAATAGCACCGCAAATGGCACCTTTGCTTAACAGGTGTGCACAGTACGAGTAGGTGCTGTTTGATGTGTGCTGCAAAAACGGAGGAACAAACATCAAGATTGCAACTTTGATTAAAACACACCCTGCTTCTAAACAAACATTGAACATCATTGAACACTCAATGTGAAAATCCGGTGACGTACAGTCGCGCGACCCTGCCTTTAACGAGCATTATCCATATTTTGCGGTGGATGCTGCCTATATGGTGGATTCCGGGTGCAAAGTGCTGAGTAGCTATAGTTCAATTGGCTTGGAGCACCAGGTAGCTGAAACCATGAAACTTCAATAACTCCAAACAATCTTCTTCAAGATTTGCAAACCGCGAACACAATTAATCACCAACATGAATCAAAAGTCCCCGTGCTGCGTTGTCTGCCTCAGCACAAATTCGGTATGTGTCTGATGCTGTTAACCTTATGAGGACCGCGTCTCCTCATTGTTTTGGGGCACCCCGAACATCCCTGCTTCCTAATACAGGTGCCGTTCGGCAGATCAATGAATTCACTCATGAGCGAGAAGGAGTGAGTGTTTTTATGGGCTCCAAGGGTTTGATTGTTCCTGCGGGGCGCTTGTTGCAAGCACACCCTGCGAGCTTGAAGAATTGATTTGGTCCCTTTTTCGAGCTCATGGGATCACCACCCCCTCATCGTTTCGCACCTGTCTCACGTTTCCTAACGCAGCTTTGGGACAAATCTTGTTCGGAGCCACCTTCTCCTTGATGGCCCGTTGGAGCCATCCATCAGCCGCGTCTGCTTGTCCCAGCTTGTTGGCCACAGAAATCATACCTCAGTGGGCTTCAAAGGACACATGTCAAGCCATTGGTCCCTCGCAAGAGTCGTCTGTTGATCTCATTGCTCTTGCTGTTGCTGCTCTTGTTATTACAGCTATAGTAGTGAGTCGACTTCGTCATCATTGTCGTCACCATCGTCATGCTTGTATTGGGCGGTAGCGGTAGTGTTGGAGGTGGTGCTAGCAATGGTAGAAGTAGAAGCAGTAGCAGCAGCCCTAGCAGCAGAAGTGCAAGGAGCATAGTAGCGGTCGCAGCGGTGGTGGTGGTGGTGGTGTGGTGGTGGTGGTGGTGGCGGTGGTGGTTGTGGTAACAATAATAGTAGGAGTGGTCGTACTAGTCGTTGTCATGGTCCTGGTGTCAGTAGTACAAGTAATCTAGTGGTAGCGGTAGCCCTCGTAGCAACAGTAAGAGTAGTAGTACCTGTCAGTTGTTGTTGTTGTGGTTGTTCATGTTGTTGCGTTGAATCAAAGCCACAAGTCCCACTTCACACCAAATGGCTTCAATGAACTGGGAACCCTAATTAGGTAGACGATGGTAGACGAGGATGGCACAAGTTTTGTTCTGTGCTTCTGTGGCAGCAGAATCGACCACCAAATGTCGGCAGGGTCACCCACATTCGTGAAGGAGTCTGCCCGGAAAAGCCAAGACGCTGCCATATGTGACGACATCGGGACTGATGCGCTCCGCCAGCATTCCTCAGTGGACTTGGCACCCAAAATGGCCAACAGCTTCTTACACCTGATGCCTGATAGGTTGTCCATCCGAAGAGCTGACAACCTGGATCTTCCAAATCCAAGAATTGTCTACGTATTTTCTGCTTTTTGGTTTTTAGTGGTTTCAATCGTTTTAGCCTAATGCCAGCGACCCACTCCCTCACTTGGATTGGCATTTTGCAGGATTTTTGTGTTCAAGTTTGTAGTTTGGGCTTGATCGATTTCCCAAGCACCAGTTGTTAAGTGTTCTTAAGTGTTCTTGGACTTCCAGGAGTTTTCGGTCGAAAGTGAGTGTTCAGGAGAAGGAATCTCCATGGGAAATGGATACCTCTCCCACTCTCTCTATCCAAATCGCTGTTGCTGGTTTTGTATGTTTTGGCATCTAGTATTAGTATGGCGCATGCAATACAAAAACGGCGGGCATTGTCAGTTGCAACATGTTGAAACAACAAATAACGATCAAGGGTTATTCGCCTCCTCAAGCACTCCTCCAAGGAAAATGTTAAGTTGCTTGGGGACCGTCGTTCGTTGTTTCGGGGGAATTAGCGCAGAAGAAGTGTTTTTGACCCTTGCGGACCTCTGAAGAGTTGGTTGTTCAGAACTAAGAGAGGGTATAAAACACGTCTTGTTTTTTTGCGTTGTTAGTGGCAACATACGAGACCCAAAGGACTATATCATAGGTTTGTTTGTCTCGTGAGTGGTGAGTGAACGGCCATGATAAAAGCTTTGTAGACGTTGTAAACCTTTGTAAGTTTGTTTGTAATTCAACAGCTCTGTCAACTCTTTGCAAAAGTTGTAAACTTTGTACAAATTCTTAAGACTTTGTGAACGTTTTGTAAACTTTGTATACCTTGTAAAAATAGAGAACTTTGTAAACGTTCTAAAAGCTGTGTAAAACGTTGCTCTAACTTTGAAGAATAATTTGAAGAACTCCAAAACTTCGTAAAAAGTTTGTAAACCTTTTTACAAAGTTTGCGAATTTTACAACGTCTTAATAAAGTTTTACCAAGTTCTTACAAAGTTTTACAAGTTTAAAGGTTGACAAAGCTTACAAAGTTTGACAAAGTTTAAAAATGTTTTACAAAGTCTACAAAGTGTTGACAAAGTTTACCAAGTTTATACCAAGTTCACTACGTTTTTACAAAGCTTTCAAAGTTGGTACAAAGTTTACAAAGCTTTACACAGATTTTATGAAGTTTGCAAAGTTTTACAACCGTTTACCAAGTT